TGGGACTACAGGAATGAGCCCGGCCCCAAATGTCAAATAAAAGATGAGATTGGACTCTGTGTTAGCATGACTTTCAGAGCCATTCGAGTAGGGTTTTCTTTTTTTTTTTTTTTTTTTAGTTGGAGTCTCACTCGGTCGCCCAGACTGGAGTGCGGTGGCACGCTCCTGGCCATTACAGCCTCAACCTGCTGGGCTCCTGCGATCCTTCTGCCTCAGCCTTCCAAGTAGCCAGAACTACAGGCACGTGCTACCACGCCCAGCTCTTTTTTGATTTATTGTAGAGATGAGGTCTCACCAAGTTGCCTGGGCAGGTTTTGAACCTGCGGGCTCAGGCAATCCACTCGCCTCGGCCTCCCAAAGTGCTGGGATTACAGGCTGAGCCACTGAGCCCAGCCACAAGTAGGGTTTTCAACATCTTTTTTCAATGACTTTAATGTTCTGGAAAAAATATTAACCATTATTCTGTAAAGATATTGTTATAAGAGTGCACGTTTTTCCTTTGGGACTCAAATACAGAACTACATGGGACTGGCGCTTACATAGACAATGGAGTTTTGTTTTGTTTTGTTTTGTTTTGTTTTGTTTTGTTTTGTTTTGTTTGAGCTGGAGTCTCACTCTGTTGCCCCGGCTGGAGAGCAGTGGCACACTCATGGCCACCCCAGCATTGACCTGCCGCGCTCCAGCGATCTTTCCACCTCAGCCTTCCAAATAGCCGGAACAAAGGGCCCGCACTACCATGCCTGGCTAATTTTTTTTATTTACTGTAGAGACAGAGACGAAGTCTCGCCAAGTTACCCAGGCTAGTCTCAAATCCATGGACTCAGGGAGTCTTCTCACCTCAGCCTCCCAAAGTGCTGGGATTACAGGTGTGAGCCATCGCATCTGTGAGTTTGATGTCTCGGACAAAGTAGAGGGTCCTTTGACAGTTGCGATCACCTTAAGACAACTCACAGCCGGGCTCGGTGGCTCAGCCTGTAATCCCGCGCTTTGGGAGGCTGAGGTGAGTGAATTGCCTGAGCCCGCGGGTTCGAGACCCGCCTGGGCAGCTTGGCGAGACCTCATCTCTGCAATAAGTCAAAAATTAGCCAGGCGTGGTAGCGCACGCCTGTAGTTCCAGCTACACGGAAGACTGAGGCGGAAGGATCGCCGGAGCCCGGCGGGTCGAGGCTGCGGTGGCCGGGAGCGGCCATTGCACTCCAGTCTGGGTAACGGCGTGAGACTCCAACTCAAAAAAAAAAGACAACTCACTTGTGACAGGGAAGGTAAGTTTTAACTACCGCCTCACAACTTAGATCTGTTTATAACTTTTTCTAGAACAGAAAGAACCAAGTCACTTCATTTTTACCTTTAGAAGGAAACAAGGTGGGTATATATGTCAGTGGCATTGGCTTTTAAATGTCTTTTTGGCCGGGCTCAGTGGCTCAGCCTGTAATCCCACGCCTTTGGGAGGCTGAGGTGAGTGGATTGCCTGAGCCCGCGGGTTCGAGACCCACTTGGGCAACTTGGCGAGACCTCATCTCTACAATAAATCAAAAATTAGCCGGGCGTGGTAGCGAACGCCTGTAGTTCCAGCTCCTTGGAAGGCTGAGGCGGAAGGATCCCCGGAGCCCCGCAGGTCGAGGCTGCGGTGGCCGGGAGCAGCCACTGCACTCCAGTCTGGGCGACAGAGTGAGACTCCGACTCAAAAATAAATAAATAAATAAATAAATAAATAAATAAATATCTTTTTGATTTGAGAGGAGATATGTGTATTATTTTCCTTTTAAAAGTATTTTCAGTTCTTTTCATAAATATTGCCATTGAAGTAACAACCCATCCCACATTTGATGGGTAACTAACTTTTGTGACTGAGGAGATGATGAACTACCATGGAATATATTCCTTTTTAAGACTTGAGAATATCCACTGATTTAGGAAAATCAGCCAGGCATGATGGCTCATGCCATTAATCCCAGCACCTTGGGAGGCTGGGACAGATGGATTACTTGAGGCCAGGAGTTGGAGACCAGTCTGAGCAACAAGACTCCATCTCTGCAGGAAAAAAAAAAAAATTAATGGAAAACTAAATGCTTAAAAAAATGAAAGACCTCTAACTTACGTGATTATGCACTTCCTGTTCTGTACATACCTTTTGAGAATAAGTCTCAGCTGGGCGTGGTGGCTCAGCCTGTAGTCCCAGCACTTTGGGAGACCAAGGTGAGAGGACTACCTGAGCCCAGAGGTTCAAGACCAGCCTGGGCAACTTGGTGAGACTTCGTCTCTACAATAAATCACAAAAACTAGCCGGGCGTGGTGGCGTGTGTCTATAGTTCCAGCTACTTAGAAGGCTGAGGTGGAAGGATCACCTAAGCCCAGCAAGTTGAGGCTGCGGTGGCCGGGAGCGTGCCACTGCACTCCACCCTGGGTGACAAGAATGAGACTCCGACTCAAAAAAAAAAGAAAAGAAAAGAAGTCTTGTGTCTAGTTAAAGATCTTTTGTAATTTCTCAACTTGGCTTTAGCTGGGCGCATACAGGCTGAGCCCCAGAGAGACCGCTATGGGGTACAGTGGACCAGACTCTCAATTTATACATCAAATACTGAGCGAAACAATTGGTTTTCTAAAAGAAACACTCCTTACTCGGTTGCTGGTATGAAGGGGACGTTTCTCTCCAGTATCAATTTGTTCACTTTTACAGGCCATTTCCTGCCATTTCGCCAGTGCCGACTGCCACTACATTGATGTGAAGGGTACAAGTCAGGAAAACATCGAGAAGGAATTTAATGAAATAGCAAACAAAGTCTATGGTATGGACAGCGACATCGACATGAAGGTATAATTGTATAAAATAACAAAGTGAAGACCTCAGCTTTCTTTTTTCTTCAACTGCTTCATAATTCTCACACTAGATTAGATTTGCAAGTTTACAGTGCTTGGCTTAGAGTTCATTTTAGACATGTTGTGGCCGGGCTCAGTGGCTCAGCCTGTAATTCCAGCACCTTGAGAGGCCGAGGTGAGTGGATTGCCTGAGCTCATGGGTTTGAGACCAGCCCGGGCAACTAGCTGAGACCTCGTCTCTACAATAAATCGAAAAATTAGCCGAGTGTGTTAGCACGCGCTTGTAGTTCCGGCTACTTGAAAGGCTGAGGTGGAAGGATCACCTGAGTCTAGCAGATCGATGCTGGGGTGGCCGTGAGCGTGTCACTGCACTCCTGCCTCGGGGAACGGAGTGAGACTCCAACTCAAACAAAAAATGGCTGACAGCTTGGGAACCTTCAACGTAGCTTCGTTGATACTATTTTAGATGTTGGTAAGTAGATTAATTGGAGTCTCAATATGTTTTATTTACTAATCAGTATGACTATTGTGGGGATCTTCCCCCGTACTTAACCTAGAAATCTATCCTGTTTTATGGTGAAATTGAAGGCAACTTTTTTTGCGAAATGTCCCATAAACTCATTCTGTTTGGCATTCTTTCCAGGACATTTGGAACCTTCGCGCTCGACTTGTGAAAGGAGAAAGAACCAACCTTTGAAGGAGCCATTGGCTATAACTCTTTTTAAAGGAAACCAAAACAAAACAAGGGGTCTAAGGAAAATGTTTTCTTAATGAGCTGATGTAACCTTTTCTATCACTTGTTGACAAAATCAGAACACTTGTGTCGGGTTCTTAATTATACACAGTTAATTTTGCAGTGCACTTGTATTGCTTTAATGAAAATAAACACAGTAAAAGTGAAATATTGCTGTCTTAAGGAAAACGAATTTAGGACTAGTTAATAAAGGTGATTGGTGTATAAGTTAAGTGTGTTAAATCAGTTTCTTTCATTCACTGAGCTCTTCACCCAAGCAGAAATGAGTGCTTTGAGTTTCACGTTATGGTAAGCCTACCACCTATCAGTTTCACGTCATGATAGGTTTCTTTTCAAATCTAGAACAACATGTAATATACCCACATTTCAGACAGAATCCATCCAGTCCTCTCCTCTGTTGCTAGAGTATGAAGACCCATTTGATGTTTCTTATTGGGTAGAAACATTTCAGCATTTTTTTTTTTTTTTGAGTCAGGGTCTCACTCTGTTGGCCAGGCTAGAGCACAGTGACACGATCACAGCTCACCACAGCTTCAACCTCCTGGGCTCAGACAGTCCTTCCACCTCAGTCTCCTGAGTAGCCGGGACAAGAAGTGGGTGTCACCACGGCTAATTTTTTTTCTTTTGAGATGGAGTCTCATTCCGTTGCCCAGGCTGGAGTGCAGTGGCACACTCACAGCCACCCCAGTATCAACTTGCTGGGCTCCAGTGATCCCTCCGCCTCAGCCTTCCAAGTAGCCAGAACTACAGGCACGCACTACCAAACCCAGCTAATTTTTGCTTTATTGCAGAGACGAGGTCTCGCCAAGTTACCCGGCTGGTCTCGAACCCGCGGGCTTAGACAGTCCACTCACCTTGGCCTCCCAAAGTGCTGGGATTACAGGCTGAGTCATCGAGCCCAGCCATGGCTAATTTTTTTTAAAAAATTTTGTAGAGATGCGTTCTTGCTATTGTTATTCAGGCTGGTCTCAACCTCCTGACCTCAAGTGATCTTCCCACCTCAGCCTCCCAAAGCTCCGGGATTACAAGCGTGATCACCGCACATGGTCTTATTTCATTATTTATGAATGAAACCTAACCTTATTTAAGGTGCAGGGAAATTTTTAGGTAGTTTTCCCCGGATTTGGGGTCAGCGTGAACTGGAAAGGGTTGCTTCAAGACGGCACTGTCTTTCTCTACCAGCTGGGGGCAGCAGGGAGACATGATCCTCATTTTACAAAATTCTCATCAGGCCTTCAGTAAGAAAGAAGTAACAAAGTCCCTTTCTTGTCATTCTGCTAAACACAAGTTTTCCTAAACACAAGTTTTCCTATTTTCCATCTAAATCGCATGACTGGATTTGGCATTTTCTTTTCTTTAAATTAGACACCCAATTTAAAGTTCAATTCCCACTGGGAATTGGAGAAGGTGAGAAAACCTCTGACAGGCTTGAAGGAAATAGATGATGGGATAATTGGAAATAAAATTGGAATTAAGGAATGCTCGTGTAAACAGCACACGAGAGCCCTGTTTTTTGTGGAGTAAGCGCTTCAAACTGCTTAAAAGTTAAAATAACTTTGAAAAAGGTAAACTTTAACAGGAATAACAGCCCGGGGCAGTGGCTCATACCTGTCATCCCAACACTTTGGGAGACCAAGGTGGGAGGATGGCTTGAACCCAGGAGTTCAAGACCAGCCTGGGCAACATAGTGAGACCTCATCTGTACAAAAAAATCAAAAGAATTAGCTGGGTGTGGTGACATGCCCCTGTAGTCTCAGCTCTTTGGGAGGCTGAGGCAGGAGGATCATCTGAGCCCAGGAGTTTGAGGCCACAATGAGCCATGATCATGCCTGGGTGACAGAGTCAGAGCCCGACTCAAAACAAACAAACAAAAACAGAAATAACAGAGCAATTTGTTTCCCATGTGCATCTGAGTGGAAGTCAACCAGTCACCATCAGAAAACCCATCTCCTCATCTGTGTCCCTTTTGTTTCTTGGTTCATGAAACAAACACCTGCGCCCCCCACTCTGTGACACGGAACTAGATGCCCAGATGAGCTGCTCCAGCTGACTGCATGGGCCCCACCTGTGGCAGGTGGTAGCCAACATGGGCTGGAAGACGAAAAGTCAGGGAAGGAATTCCACAGGATCTCAGCAGACTGGCAGGAGCCTGGTTGTTCAGGAGGTGGAAGGGGTTTTGTCCTGGGCTCGATCATTTCACCAGAGTCCAAAAGGACTGAGAATCGGTCACACAAAGCACACAACAAAACAGATACAAGGTCGGGCTCAGTGGCTCAGCCTGTAACCCCAACACTTTGGAAAGCCAAGGCGAGTGGATTACCTGAGCGCGTGGGTTCAAGACCAGCCCGGGCAACTCAGTGAAACCTAGTCTCTACAATAAATCAAAAATTAGCCAGGCATGATGGCGTGCATCTGTGGTCCCAGCTGCTTGGAAGGATGAGGCGGAAGGATTGCCAGAGCCCAGCAGGTCAACGCTGGGGTGGCCATGAGCATGCCACTGCACTCCAGTCTGGGCGATGGAGTGAGATTCCAACTCAAAAAAGAAAACAACAAAAAAACAAGGGTACCTGCTTAATCAATGTTTGTATACCTAACCCTGAATTTTACCTCACATCTTTGTAATTAAAAAAAAAAAAAAACAGATACGAAGGATGCCTTCTATGAGTGTCAAGGCTTACAGTGCGGGAAAACCGGAGGCCGCTGTTCTTTGTTGGTAGTTGGAGCTCTGCCTCCCCTTTTCTGTTCTATGTTCCTTTTTTTTTTTAAATTAGGGTCTCGCTCTATTGCCCAGACTAGAGTGCAGTGGCACAATTATAGCTCCTTGCAGCCTTGAACTCCTGGGCTCAAGCAATCCTCCTGCCTCAGCCTCACAAATAGCTGGAACCACAGGCAGGAGCCATTGAGACCAGCTAATTAGAAAATTTTTTTTTGGTTAGAGAGGGGGTCTTGCTCTGATACCCACGCTGTTATCTAACTCCTCCTGGCCCCAAGCGATCCTCCAGCCTTGGCCTCACAAAGTGTTGGGGTGACAGGCGAGAGTGAGCTACCATGCCCAGCCTCATTTTTGACGATCTAATAGAAAAGGGATATGTGTGATAATTTTAATTTTGCATTTATTTGATGATGAGACTGAGGGTTTTTCCTATCTTTATGGGCGTTCTGTGACTGACTTGCTGAATGCTGGTCTCTTCTTAGGCCTAAGAGGATACCTGATGGTAGAAATGCCAAGATCAGGCCGGGCTCGGTGGCTCAGCCTGTCATCCCCGCACTTTGGGAGGCCGAGGTGAGTGGACTGCCTGAGCCCGTGGGTTCAAGACCAGCCCAGGCAACTTGGCGAGACCTCGTCTCTACAATAAATCAAAAATTAGCTTGGCATGGTGGTGCACGCCTGTAGTTCTGGCAGTAATACTTGGAAGGCTAAGGTGGAAGGATCGCTGGAGCCCAGCAGGTCGACGCTGGGGTGGCCATGAGTGTGCCACTGCAATACAGCCTGGGCGATGGAGTGAGACTCTAACTTTAAAAAAAAGAAAGAAAGAAATGCCAAGATCAGATTTTGAGGATTCTATGCCTGGAATGTCTGGAGATATATTGAGCTTACTTTTCTTTCTCATTCATTTTAAGCCTGAGGCCACCTGATCTCAAGTCCAAAAGCCACTGCTGTGTGTCCTGAAAGGGAAGGGAGTGAAAGAACGAGATTTTGTGCTGGAAAGAGATTCAAAATACACAACAGACACCATCAGTCAGATACCAGGACTGTAGGAAGGGGGCATGGCCCTTGTGAATTCCCTGGCAGCTCGGGGCCCACCCAGAGCCCTGACTCCCCATGGATGTGAAATGACATTTAAGGCACTTGAGTGTGGGTCCCAATGGAGACTCCCCAAACCCTAACTGATCACTCCTAGGGTCTCCATTAAACTTAATGAGCATGCATACATATTCTATGCTGGTTTTCTTTTAAACTAACAGCTTTATTTTTTATTTATTATTATTATTTTTTGAGTTGGAGCCTCACTCTGTCGCCCAGGCTGGAGTGCAGTGGCATGCTCACGGCCACCGCAGCCTCGACCTGCTGAGCTCCGGCGATCCTTCTGCCTCAGTCTTCCAAACAGCTGGAACTACAGGCGCACGCTACCATACTCAGCTTATTTTTTTTACTTATTGTAGAGATGAGGTCTCGCCAAGTCGCTGGGTCTGGTCTCGAACCCGCGGGCTCAGGCAATCCCCTCACCTCGGCCTCCCAAAGTGTTGGGATTGCAGGTGTGAGCCACCGTGCCCGGCCTAACAGCTTTATTAACATATAATCTACATACCATATAGTTCACCCACTGAAAGCATACAAGTCAATGATTTTTAGTAGATTCGCAGATACAGGAAACCATTGCCAGAGTCACCCCTTTTCTTCACCCCCACCCCACAAAGGCAACCCGTAGGCATTCAAGAAAATATTGTTCAGCCTTGAAAAGGAAGGGCGTTCTGGAACATACCACACCATGTACGGGCCTTGAGGACATTGCCCAAAGTGACATAAGCTAGTCACAAAAAGGTACATACTGTATAAACCCTACTTATTTGAGGTACCCAGAGTCCTCCAACTCGCAGAGACAGAAAGTAGGATGGTGTTTGCTGGGAATGGGGGAAGGACCAGGAAGACTGTTCAATGGTTACAGAGTTTCCATTTTACAAGATGAAAAGAATTCTGGGGATCAACGGGGATGCTGGTTGCACAACAGTGTGAGGGTACTTTTTTGGGTTTTTTTTGAGTTGGAGTCTCACTCTGTCGCCCAGACTGGAGGGCAGTGGCCGCTCCCGGCCACCGCAGCCTCGACCTGCTGGGCTCCGGCGATCCTTCCGCCTCAGCCTTCCGAGTAGCTGGAATTACAGGCGTGCGCTACCACGCCTGGCTGATTTTTTAATTGTATTGATGAGGTCTCACCAAGTTGCCCAGGCAGGGCTTGAACCCGCAGGCTCAGGCCATCCACTCACCTCAACCTCCCAAGGCATGAGATTACAGGCTGAGCCACTGAGCCGGGCAGTGTGATGGTACTTAATACTGTTGGACTACACACTCTGAAAAAGGAGAGTGAGTTGTATGTAATGTGTATTTTACTGCAATTTTTTAAAAGGCTATATTTTTATAGGTCAAGCGTTCGAGACCAGCCTGGGCATCATGGTGAGACCTTGTCTCTACAATCAATTAAAAAATTAGCCAGGT